AAAAAAAGGCGGCCATGCCACCCTAGGATTGGGCCGAATGCCGCCTCGTTCAATCTGCTGCCCCAAGCACCAGCTTGCTCGGCTGGTGCCTGGAGCCGGCCCTGGTCACAGAGATCAGAGGCCAACCCTAGTAAAATAAATTTGCATACAGATAATTTTGAATAAAAATAAGTTCTGACCAAAATTGACGTGGTTTCATATCAGATATGTAAGGTGAACAAAAGCTTATAAACAGAACTCTGAAAATTACAATAGATGCAAATGAAGCTTACAGATATTTTTATATTTACATTGACAAAATAATAAATTAAGTATCAATAGTAATATGACAATATTTGCTTCAAAGCTCTGTTTACATTGTATTAATATCAGTTTGCTTAAATACCCAAATCAACATAACGCTCACATCTGTACTGACAGCTTTTTCTGCTTTGGATTTTATTTGGATCTGATTTGCATAATTAAAAAAGCCACCAGCTTGGGAGATAGGGGGAGACTTAAAGTAGTGCAAATTGAGTAGCGTGATTTGAGCAAAGTGCAGTTTCTAGAGTATTTTCTTTTTTTAATAAAACCTAAAATGTGAACCTCTGCATTTCTTAAATAACATTCTTGATGTTTTTAAATTAAAAAAAAAATGAAAACCTTATTTTTATAGAAACCTGTAGGGTTTTTAAATGGATGTTTTGTATGACACCACTTTAGGCAAGTTTAGAAGGGGGTATCAAAAGAATTCTAGCAGACTTCTTTAGTATTTATTTTTATTGCAGCTACTCTACTTAGCTGTTCTTCACATAGAAGGGAGAATGATGTATGGCTTTCTTCCTGACTCTGCTACAGACTTATTGTGTGATCTTCAGTCGTTTGGTATCTCTCTCCATTTCGCTAGGGGATAATGCTTCTCTACCTCACAAAACTGTTGAGCTATAATTCGCCAATGTTTGTAAAGTATTTGAAGATCTTAGATGGAATGTGCTATGTTAAGAGCAAAGGTAGTAATTAAATAATCTTCTTATACCTAGATTTGTTTAATCTATTTGCAGCACTAATCCTTATTCATATGTTCACCATTTTTTTCCTTTATGTATAGAGGCTTCATTGTGTAACAGCATCAACAGTCCCAAAATAGTTGTTGAGTTGTGTTGTCCAACTGCTAGCATTTGAAGGTTGTAATATCTATATTTATCTATTGGGTCTTTTCTTTTGTGTATTTATGTATGGGGGCAGCTCACAATAATAATTATCATTTCCTCTTCAAGCATTCCATCAATAATACAGTACTCATTGAGATCTTGGCAGAAAATACATGGGCTGCTGCTGCTATTTATTTTTTAATTTTAATTTTTTACTTGTTGCCCAGAAACCCCAATCAGGATCAAGGTCCCATTGAGCTGGGTACTGCTGCAAACACTGAAATACACATTCTACCTGTGTAAATAATGCACTAGTGGAAGATTGAATTTCTAGTTTGAATCTTACATTCAGGATATTACCCAGCTGTATCTCTAGGAATTAAGCTATATTTAGTCTTGTCCCGCGCCCATTAAGTGTGTGTGTGTGTGTGTGTGTGTAATATACATATATTGCTAAGCACACAATTCAGATGTCACACAACTTTAAGTTCAAATCGTATCCAGATCAGATCTCTTCTACTTGGGATATAGCTGTATAGCTGGGTGTCAATAACTCATTGTTGTCATCTGAGCTTGTAGAGCCTTTCTCTATTGGTCAGACAAATGTTAAATTAGAGGAGGGAAAAAATCTATACAGCTTAGTTCCTGGAGATGCTTGTGGTAATACCTTGCATTTAAAACTTCTTTCTTTAAGGAAATATATCAAAAACTTTCTCTTGCACCTCCATTTTTGCTTTATCTCTGAAAACTCTCCATGTATCTTGGCTACTTGAAGACCACAGGAAAAAATTGTTACAAGTCTAATTATTAAATCATTCCTATACAAGTCTTAGAATCTCTTAAGAGGTGTTTATAGAAAATTTATTTAGTTTACTTCTGCAGCATTCCCTTATTTCCCTTCCCCTGTTTGCCTTTAGGTTCTTTCTGTTTCTTCAGGATGTGTGAAAAAGCCTAAGGGAAGGAAGTATCTTGGTTTACCCTAGGTTTACCTGCATAGAGGAGTAAGGAGGTATAAGGTATTCCTTTACTCTCCCATAAGCAGGGCCGGTGCAAGGAAGTTTCGCGCCCTAGGCGAAACTTCCACCTTGCGCCCCCCAGCCCTGCGGCAGCTCCCCGCACCCCCCCCTCCCCTGAGGCACCCCCCCCCCCCCCCGCGGCACCCCCCCCCCCCCGGGGAGCTGTGTGGCAGCTCCCCACCCCAGCTCACCTCTGCTCCGCCTCCTCCCCGAGCACACCGCCCCCACTCTAATTCTCCTCCCCTCCCAGGCTTGCGG